TCCTTGCTTTCAAGAGAAACCAGCCAACTATGGCAACGCCTTATAGCTGTATGAAGTGTTCTGCAAGTGGGCTGCAAATGCAGACTGAACAAAACCATTCTAGTTTTATATAATAAGTTCAAGTGCTAAATTGCTTTATACAACATAGTTTTTCCCTGTTACTCAATCTCTGCCCATTGGATGAAATGCTTGATCAAATCTGACAGCATATATCCAGGACCTCAAGAACAGCATAATGAGAAACCTCGTGTAGCGAGATGAGAATCCAGCACATAGGTCGAGATTTGCTTTCGTGCTGGGCCAGTTCCAAAATAGGTTTCTAATTGAAAACTAAGAGCTGCCATTTCATCATTGACAAGGGTCCTGAAAGAAGAGTTTATGATGTAAGAGTGAATGAAATGAATGAAGATTTCGTTTCAAGCCTCAATTTTCTTCAATAGAGACAGGGAGCACAGTTACTGTTAAGGGAGTACTGCTCCCTACTGCTGAGTTTGGCTGAGGCTGTATATAAATGGGCAGCTGATGTTCAAGAAAGTACCAGAATTCCTATGGGGAATTCGGTGTGGCTTTCCACAAAGCTTTCACTCTCCTTTCCTCCATCCAAATGGCCTTTGATGCACAATTGCTCGTCAAATATTCAGTACAGACAATCACATTGGTCACAAAGGTACACTGTCAGGGCTTGTAACTTGTACACATGGCTCATAACCCATTTGTGACATATGGATTTGAGTAGAGATTTGGTATTTCTATTTCTCACTAGCTTTTTTCAGTTAATTGAATTGCTATTACTTAGCAATATCTTGGGAGGCATGTGTGCATCTTCACCTGTTCACATGTTTTTCATTCTCTTTTTGTGAACTCCTGGGAATGTTTCACTGAGAAAAAAAATCAGTGCTAAAACAGAACCAAATATAGCCTAGAAACAAACCCCAGCAGTGGAGTAGGCAATTCTATTATGTTCTAATACAGAGTAGCAAGTTCAGCTTAAGAAATAAATATAATACAGTATTTCAGGAGTCTAAAAACAAGAGAGTTCATTGCCTCTAGTCATTACATACTCTCACTCTTACACAACTTTGCCTTAACATGTCAAATATTCCTTAACAAATAACTCATGGCACATCATAACACATGGCTGACCATAATGGAAATATTGCATGCAATCCTTCTTGCACATTTTGTTTTTACAGTCAAATGCTAAATTAATTATTTCTTGAGAAACACTCTTTTTGTCCTTATAAAAATTGCATTGGTCTTTAAAATATGTTTTAAGATTTTTTTCAGTTCTGTTGCTAGAATGTGGAATGAGCAAGTGAAAACTATACAAACGATCATTGAATCACAACAGTGAAAACCCTCTCTAAAGATTTCTATATCTATTAAATATAAACCAGGAGCTGTTCAGTTTTGCTGCTAATGCAGCATTATGGATAGAAAGATGAATAAAGGTTAACCAACATTTAAACTGCTCCTTAGTTGTAAAGGTCATCGATAAAACACCAATTACCATCTATGATTGTTATTAAGACAGCATGGAAGAATCCCAAGCAAGTAACCCTAAGCCTCTTCTTGGAAAGGCTAAAAGCATAAAATTCTAAATAAAATTATAATTCAGCTATAATACTTTTATATAATAAGTCTCGGGTTCATTTATGACACTGTCTGGAATACTATTTCCAGGTACATCAAAAACATGAATCTCTTTCCTCTACCAAAATTCTTCCATGCTGCTAAGCCTTTCATGGTCTGTATGTTAGTATTTCATAAAGATTTTTAAAAAGCAACAGATAAATCATGACAAAATTATGTCGTTTCTTTTTTAAAAAAATATCTCGGGACAGTTTTATTGCATGATGTATCTTTAAACAATGAGGCCAATCTAATCCCTGCTATAGCCATCCATCCCAATATTGTCTGTTTCACCAATATGGATGCCTCTTTTTATATAATAAAAAAATAACAGAAGACAGTGTTTTCCCGCCTTAACTGGAGATGGCAGAATTGAAATCTGGTATCATTAGTATGATCAGCTTATATGTTACCCATCAGCTAGGGAATAAAGAAGATAATTGTCCTCAGAAGTAGAAGCTGTTACCAGAGCACCAATCATTAACCTGTAGAAAATACTTAAGATAAAATGATCCACCTGGAAGTCACAGCTTTATTATTGGATATTGAAGGGGGGGGGGGGAATCAAACCAGGCCAAGTAGATTTTTTTTACTACAATAATGATCTTCCAGAGACAAGAAAACCCGATGAATTTATTTGCTCTTTCACATACCAACACAGTCAAATACAGTTTTTATTATAGAAAATTCATGTCATCTTTACCAAAGCAATACCTTAACTGCATTTCTGCATAAAGCAGGTCATTTTCCTCTTCAACACTGTTATGGACCAGTGTAAAAATATACTCAATTTTCCATCATAAGAAAAGAAGAAAATATATTTTTAATATTTGTAAGTGGCTGCTAAATTCTTTACAAAGCTGATTCTAGAGATAACTCTTCAAGATAGGCACATGGGATTCATATTATGTAATATGGGTTATGATTTTCCCGCATATGCCTGATTTGTTTCAGGAAAAGGAGACAGCCTTCAGACCTTTTTGTGTTAGCATACAGATCAGTGAACTGATCATCTGCTTCCTACCAAGCATTTATCTGTCTTTCTTTTTGTTGTGTTGATGCCTTGTGGTAGCTTTCAGGATAGTTTCTGCAAACTCAGGTTATGAGGCTATTTTATAAAAATCAACCACTTTCTAAAGGAGGGGGCGGGTAGAAGCAATGTTTACATAACAATGAATATTCCCTGTGTGCTTGTGTGTGTGTGTGTGTGTGTGTGTTGGAAATAATAAAGCAGCTATAGGCAAGAAACTCAGCATATACAAAGCTCAAATTCCACATTGTAGGCAGAATTCAGTGGAATCAGAAGCATTTCTATTAATTGGGAGAATATATGAAGGGACATTAAAGAATATCTACTGAAACTAGTACACTACGAAGGCTTACTGGATCTTGAAGAAACAAGAGGGGATGGTTCTGTAGGAAGTTAGCACCCACCCCTCTCCTAGAAAAAATATCCAAGGAAATATTAAAAAGGCAGAATATTTCCCCTAAAAAAAGAGTAGAAACCAGGGGTGGGATTCAAATTTCTTAACAACCGGTTCTGTGGGCATGGCCTAATTTGTGGGTGCGGCTTAGTGGTCATGTGATTGGGCTGGGAGTGGCTTGATGATTGGGCGTGGCTATGTGGTCAGGTGACTGGGGTGGGCGTGGCTATGTGGTCATGTGACTGGGGTGGGCATGGCCATGTGGCTGGCAACCCAAATTTAAGTGGTCCCCACTTAATGACCAGGTGCTCGCTTAGTGGCCAATTGCTTAGCAAGTGATTTTTGCCAGTTTCCAAGGCCTCGGGAGGCCCAGGCAAGGCCCAGGAAGGTGGCCATGAGGCTGGCAACCCAAATTTAAGTGGTACTCACTTAATGACCAGGTGCTTGCTTAGTGGCCAATTGCTTAGCATGAAACAAGGATTAATGAAAATTGGAAAGGAAAAACTGCAGAGATTGTCCACAAGTGATTTGTACCAACCAACATACTATGTAACTGAAGATGGTTTATGTTTTTGTTTATGTTAAAAAAAAACACTTTTATTAAAAAAAAATCATTTATGTATGCATGCAACTTCTTGTTACATTGATGTTGCTATATATTGATTTAAGCAGAAACAGATAATGTATAACATCAGTGTAACAAGAAGTTGCCTGTCTCCCTTTTGGTAAGTTGCTTCTTTTTATTTATGTATTTATTTCTTTTTTTACTATCTGTTTTTGTTTTTATTAATCATAAAAACAAAACAGATACTAAAGAAATAAACAAACACATAAATAAAAATTATTTTACTATTCATCTTGAAGTTTCTTTAAGCAATCAGAAAGAAACATCAAGATGAATAGTAAAATAATTTTTATTTATGTGTTTTATTTCTTTAGTATCTGTTTTGTTTTTATGATTAATAAAAACAAAAACAGATAGTAAAAAAAGAAATAAATACATAAATATAAAAAAACAACTTACCAAAAAGGAGACAGGCAAGTTGGCTAGCCAACTATGCTGGGATCCTCCTCAGTCTTCTAGCTTGCTGCGGCAAGGCTGGCCGGCCCAGGTGTTGGCTCTCGATTGGGCTGGTGGCAGAGGTGGCAGGAGGAGGTAGGGGACCAGCCCAGCAGGACTTGCTACTTTGCCTCCTCACTACCAATCAGTGGTGGGAAGGCAAAGCAGCAACCCTTGGGCCGCGGCGGGGGAGGGAAGGTGGCCACCATGTGGGAGAAGCAGCAGCGCCCATCCTGGGAGTCGGCTCTCAACTGGGCTGGGGGCAGTGGCAGAAGGTAGGGGACCAGGCCAGCAGCAGGAGTTGCGGCTTTGCCTCCTCACTACCAATCAGGGGTGGGAAGGCAAGGCAGCAACAATGGAGGGCCGCGGGCGAGGGAAGATGGGGCGGGCGACCGGGACTGGCAGCAGTAGGTAGGCGACCGGGTTGGAGGATCATACTTACCGATCCACATCTTCGGAGGCTGGTGGCAGGGTAGGCAGTCCGGGCAGGTGAGGACGGTTAGCAGTGGTGGCGACTGGGGCTTGCGGCTTGCCCTCACTCAGCAGGGTGGCAGAAGGGAGGCAGGGACGGGCAGTGGGCTGGCTGGCCGGCTGGCTGGCTTGGCTGCTGGTGCTGGTGTGAGTGATAGTGCCAAGCGGGTAAATTTTTGTAATTAGCACACATGCGCTATAAGTAGGAGCGGGGAGGGGAGGGCGGGGTAGAATGAGAAAGGGATTTTTGCGTGTGCACAGAAAAAAATACCCGTTTTTTTTAAACAGGGTTTTTTAACTTTGGAGCGGCAGATGGGGCAGGGGCAGGGACAGCGAAGGGAAGGGCGGGCGGGGGAGAATGCGGAAGGGATTTTCACGCATGCACAGTAATAAAAACCGGTTTTTGGCCGTAGGAGCAGCGGAGAGGGGTGGGGCCAAGGAGAGGTCAGTTTTATCGGTTCTTAGAACTACTGGTGATGTTAACAACCAGTTCTATAGAACCGGTGCGAACCGGTAGAAACCCACCCCTGGTAGAAACTCAGAAGCAGAAACTCACCTCAGAAGCAGAAGCTCACCCCCACTTTTGTTAATGGGTGGGCCATTAAGGCCTGGGCCAGAATATTTTACATAACAAAGATCTCCAACAAAGAGCTATAATAGGAATTGCCCAAAGCCCTTTCATTACATCATCGTCCAGCAAGGCTCAACCAAGCCTGGCACTCAGGACAGCCTACAGAGTTGCTCCTGCGTGGCCCCATGGGAGTCTGACAATCAATCAGAATACAAGCTCAAATTCAAATCCCAACAGAGGGTATATAAGGGGCTCTCAGCATCTCAGCCAGCCCTTCTTTTCTTTCACCCAACATCTTGAAGCATGTGATCATCCCTTTCACTTTGGAGCTCCATGCCATGTGGTCCTGTCCACCATTAAACCATCTTTCTAAACAGCCTCCATGTTTCCAGTGTCTTTTTCCACACTTGGAACTGAACCCAGAAGGATATTTCTTCCAACAGTTCCATTCAAGTGGTGGGGAAGCCTGTGCATGCAGCTCCATTTTGTGTGAGCGGCAAACATACACGGCCATCAAACAAACGGAGCTTGCACACCTGTGCATGCCTACTGCTTGTGTAAGAGGGGATGAGTGCACATGCGCTCCCCTGCCACTTCGGCTTGGTTCCGAAAGGCTCACAGTCCTGTACTGGCCCATGGGGTTGGGGACCCCTGCTTTAAATGGTGGAAAATCCAACTAACCACCTGATGTAAATGAATAGATGGATTTTTATTACTATTATGCTGCTTCCCAAACACTACAGAACAGTGGTTCTCTTGACACCTCCCCACAAATAGGCAAAGCAAAGCAGTTAAATTGATTCTAAATGAACTTCCAAATATGTAATTTTTCAGCTATAAAGATCTGGCTCTCTTCTGGGTAGTTTTCTTTTTTGCCTTCTGTTTTTGTGAATCTAGTGTTAGATGCAAGAGTCATGTTCTTCATCTCTAAAATGAGGTAACTACCATATGGCTGCTTGCTAAGCTATAATTTCCCCTCCTTAAATGTTGACTGAGATTCTGGCAGCTCTTTAACCGTTTGATCTAAAATATAAACAAACAACTCCAGTAATCATCCATCTGGACTTTTAAAAAAACATGTGTTTTCTAAACCAAATCCTCCATAGCCACATAGAGTAAGTGTGAAGCAAGATGGTTACAGCACATCTGATAATCCATTTGAAGAACAGGGAACATTGTTGCCTTAAAAAGTTCCAGGGGACATTTGACAGCATCTCTGGATCTGGGCCAGCACAGAAGCAGACATATCAGAGATGGCCATCTTCCCATCACTCCTAGCACCCTGAACATTTCAGAAAAGAATAGACACCAGGCAAGGCTAAATTACCAGAACCTCTACCAGAACCTGATGTCAGTATCAAGTAACCAGATGAGTTAACTAAATCCTTGGAATCCAGGCAAATATGGTACATAAGTAATCATTAAAGCAAACTTCCCCTGAATTGAGTTTGCCTCCTAATGGGCAGATCCATATAGTTGACAAAAATAAAGAGATTATTTACCATTTTCTTCTTCTGGAATTTTTTTAAAAATAATAATTTCCCAATCTAGCCTGCAGTCCTGAGATTTTTCTGCTGATCTCTTGCCCAAATACTAATCAAGCCTGACTTGATTTAGTTTTTCAAAATCAGCTACTGTTGGCTAGGTGCTGCCAATTGCTGTAAGAATAACAATTTGTAATCAATTTTTAAAGCATAACACCAGAGGTCAGGTAGAATAGATGTGATTAGATGTTTTTTGTACATCTAAAAAAAGAGATACCAAGGGGAACCCAAGTAGGAATGGAGCTGCTCCTAAAGCTTCAACCATAACAACACAAGAGCACACAACAGATACAAACTCAAGGTTAACCGCACCAAGCTTGATTGCAGGAAATACGACTTCAGCAACAGAGTGGTCAATGTCTGGAATACTCTACCCGACTCTGTAGTTTCTTCCCCAAACCCCAAAAACTTTAACCTTAGACTGTCTACTATTGACCTCACCCCTTTCCTAAGAGGTCTGTAGGGGGCGTGCATAAGCGCACCAAGTGCCTACCGTCCCTGTCCTATTGTTTCTTTTATTTTTCTTTTGTTTTTCTTATATGTACCCATTTCATGTATTCATAATTTTGTATACACTTTTACTTATTATCTCGTAAACAATTGACAAATAAATTAAATAAATAAATAAATAAAAATAAATCTGTGCTGTTTTCCCAATCTATCCGTTATTAGCTGTGGGTGGTAAAATGTGTGTTTGATGCCTCTCTGTAACCCCAGCTAATAGGAACCTCAGTCAGGGAGACCTTGTTGATTTTAAGCCTAAGGAATAAAAAAATAATCTAACCACGGAGCTTCCATAATATACTGTTCTGCGAATTCAATCCTTGATTAATTGGTGAAAGCTATATCAGGGGAGCCTAAACGAAATCAACCCTGACTGTCCTTCGGAAGGACAGATACTGAAGCTGAAGCTCAAATACTTTGGCCACCAAATGTAGTGTGTTCAATGTGTGTCTGTTCATGGAATTGCTTGTGGAGTGCAGGCTTCAATGAACTCAAGAGTGTGGCAGATGGTAGCATGGTAAATGATTTTTATGTTGTGGTGTCAGTGTGGGTAGAGATTAAGGATTGTGACTGGATCCTGGAAGAAAGGAGTCACTGGAAAAGACCCCGATGTTGGGAAAGGTGGAAGATAAAAGGAGAAGTGAACAGCAGAGTGTCAGGATTCTGGCAGTTACTCCAATTAAATCATGAGCCTCGAGTCACACTCCCAAAACTAAAGAGGATTTATTAGAAGTTAACATTCCGGCATTTGCCTGGGCATAGCCAACTCTGAGATACGTAATTCACTGTTACCCTTGATCCTGCTTCCCCCACCACCACCCGTCTGGGTGTATCATCCAACGAAACACGTCCATAGCCAAGAGTCATCAATCATGCTCGCCAATTAGATTTTTGCATGGCAGAAGCTTCAGTCATCTAATCAGTCTTTGAAGAAAATATGAATGGAAAGTACTTTCAATTCCATACTCCTGCCTGCTCTTTGAAACTCCCCCCACCTTCTTTCTGTTGACAACTATAAAACATGTTTACAAAATGTTTTATGAGTTGACACAGAGGATGAAATGATTAGATAGTGTTGTTGATGCAGAGGGCATGAGTTTGGGCAGACTCTGGGAAGCAGTGGAAGATAGGGGGGCCTGGCGTGCTATGGTCCACAGGGTTGCAAAGAGTCAGACTTGACACTGTTACTGTACAACAACAAACATCATGGGGAAAAGCTGTAATTTGTAGTCACTTGGTTCTTGGTTAGAAACATAACACTTTCTGTCCATCTTCACTTTAATCAATTTACCACATTTCCTTCTGTGATTAGGCATCCAAATAGTCACAAACTGAAATCCATCGTCCAGTAACTAATTTAGCAAGTGAAAGAAAATAACAGTTTCCCACTGTGAGTTAGATGCCACATCATAGTATGAAAACCTTAAAGTTTCTTTTGCAAATCAAAGGAGAAACAAAGATAGACCAACTTACCCTCTAGAGTTACCATTAAATTGACGAGAGAGAAAAAGCACAATAGTTTTGCAATAGTTTTTTTTCCCGCCAACACATTTTTTCTTTTACTGTGCACTTTACCGTGTTTCATTTGTAATTTTTGATGACATGAACCAATATAATTTGTCAATTTCTCATATTGAAAATTATATATGAAATGTATAATTATTCCTCACACCACTTAGCTTTTTAGCCTTGTGAGCAAATACAGAAAATAAGAAAACCAACGAAGAAAAGTAATGCTTATCTTTGAAACGGATTAGAATCTGTATTTTGTCCAGGAGGAGAACTTCATTCTCTATAGAATGTCATCTGCAGAATCCAAGAGGAGAGCCTTTTCTGTCATGACACACACCCCCTTGTGGAATATCAATCAGCATAGAACTGGAAGAGATCTTGGAGGTCTCCTAGTCCAACCCCCTTGCTCAAGCAGGAGACCCTACACCATTTCAGACAAGTGACTGTCCAGACTCCTCTTAAAAACCTCCAGTGACGAAGCAGCCACATCTTCTGAAGGTAAGCTATTCCACTGGTTAATTGTCCTCACTGTTAGCAAGTTTCTCCTTAATTCCAGGTTGCTTCTCTCCTTGATTAGTTTCCATGCATTGTTTCTTGTCCTGCCCTCTGGTGCTTTGGAAAATAAGTTGACCCTTCCTGTTTGTGACAACCTCTCAAATATTGCTATCACATCCCCCCTTGTCCTTTTTTTCCTCTAGACTAGCCAAACCCCAATAATTTCCCTCCCACTCTCCCAGGAAATCAAATTAAACACAACCCTATTGGCCTTTTGCAGGGCCTTAAAAAACCATGGCTGTGCCACCGTGGAAGTTTAATGAAAACCATAAAGGGGTTTCACTGAGGGAAGATTTATTTTTAGACTCCAGTTGTGAACTTATTTGTATTTTTACATTTTTTTTAATATGGCTTGATTGTCTTTTGTACTTTTTAAATAGTTGTAAGCAACCCAGCCGAGGCTCAGTGGCTAAGACGCTGCGCTTGTCGATCAGAAAGTTTGGCAGTTTAGTGGTTCGAATCCCTAGTGCCGCGAAACAGAGTGAGCTCCCGTTACTTGTCCCAGCTTCTGCCAACCTAGCAGCTTGAAAGCATGTAAAAATCCAGGTATAAAAATAGGGACCACTTTGGTGGGAAGGTAACAGTATTCTGTGCGCCTTCGGCATTTAGTCATGCAGGCCACATGAGCACAGAGACATATTTGGACAGCGCTAGCTCTTCGGCTTTGTAACAAAGATGAGCACCGCCCCCTAGAGTCGGAAATGATCAACACGTATGTGTGAGGGGAACCTTTACCTAAGTAACCCAGAGGCTCTATAAATTGAACAAAGAAATATATGGAGAGAATTTTTTCTTAGAAAAGCTCTGTGCTTCACCTCAACCCTATAATATGGACAAAAATCAGTTCAGCCATAAAACAGAGTTGTAGATAAAAGGTAGCAGGGCTGGGTGATGCATTGCATTCAATTCCAAAAAGGGTTGGACTATGTGGGGCTGTAAACATAGCATCTCTCTACAAGTCTTAACACCATTCACGCTTTTTCCAAAGAATAGGAAGAATAATGCGGCAGCATTGAAAAGTAATCATGCAGCTGCTTTAAAGATTTGCAGACATGCAGGTGCTATGTTTGTGCTCTCAAATGTACCGAGGCAAATTATTTTGAAAATTATTTTCATGGGTAATCCTCAGATTATGGCAGCAAGTGGTGATCAGGATTGCGATTGCTAAGTGATGTGGTTATAAAAGGTGGTATCACATGCTAGCACCGCAGTGCAATTCTGATAGTCCTGATTGCTGCCATAACCCAGAGATGTGCGGGTCGTTAAGCAAGAACTGGAGAGAGTCTAAGGTAAGAGGTGCTGCAGGCAGGCAGGGAGGGGTTGGAGAAGCACTGTGCAGCCTGCACATGAGTC